AACTCTCCAGTCACTGTACAGTAGGCTACCTAGTTGGAAAATGTGTATTTTCCCACCCATTTACTATATTTTAATATCATTATCAGTAATTACTTTGCCGGCTGAGGCTTAAGAGATTTAAATCAGTTTGTGTATCACCAAATGAAACCATATGGGGGAAAAGTCCTTGTAATCTCTTTCTGATTTCCTGTTATATAATAGACAAACATGTATGTGTGTGTATGAAAAAAGACTAACTGTGTGCGGTACACAGCCTGAATTACGAACTGATTATGTATCCAGAAACCTGGCTGCTGCACAGCATGGCACAATCACAATGGAGGGTGATAATTTAATTGTGCTAAATGGTGGATTCCATGTCAATGCTCCTCCAGCTGGGAGCTGTCAGGTAGTAATATCTCATTATGGCAGGTGAAGAACCCAGAGGAACCCTACCATGACACCTGTTAGAACAGGAGGAGCCCCTGAAGGCAAACACACACATGATTTTCTCTCTCTCTGACTTTCTTTCTTTCTCTCACACAAACACTCGTACTAATACACACATTTTAAGCACCCAAATTATTTTCTATATATACTTCCACTCCACTTTAAAAGATTACTTCTGATTATACTATTTATTTTGAAGGTTATTTGGACTGTTTGGTAATTGATTCAAATAAACAAACTGGTTTTAGCATACATGTTTTACTTTGGCACATATTAAACGTTTATACATTAAAGAACAGTTGTAGAACCTTTGTTAATTGGGTCTGTTAGTATTATTCTTATTGTTCTTTATTACACTTGAGCATAAATGGCACATTCCTACACAATCCTCAGTAGTGTGTCAACAGATTTGACATATATTCAAAAGGTGCTGCACTAGAACCTGAAGAAAGCCGCTATCACTGAAATATCACTTTTATCAAATAACTTTCAAACTAATAATGACATCAATGGGATTCCAAATGCTAGGGGTAGGTTTTCATGGTCAAGGAATGGAATCATATTATGACGGTCAAACTATATTTGTTTGAATATGAACCTTCCCATATGCATGCATGCTCTGCATGAATGCCAACAGTTGCAAATAGAAAGTTTCAGCTCTTCATTTGTCATTGCCTGCTCTCTTGTCTTGTTGATTTTACTTATTTACTTGAGTTCTGTCTCATTTCTTTGTGGATAACAAGTAAAGGAGGAAAGTGCAATAGTCTCCCCTGTTGGGGGCTAAGATGAAAATCTGAAGGTGCAAGATGTCAGCAGTGAGACAGACAGGTGGGCATGTGAGTGTAACGGAGTGATGGGCGAGATGGTGTGGAGCTACTTATCACTATTGTCTATAAAAGGTAAACAGTGTGACAGAGAAAATGCAGCGGGTGAAAGTCACTCAGACCTTTTTATGATGAAACGAGATAGCCAAGGACACATGACCCCACAGTCACAAGACCTCAGAGATGAGCAGTGCACAACACTCCTCTAATCCCCACCAATTAAACAGAGGTTGTTTTGCACGATGATGAAACATTATCACAGGGAACAATTCATGACTCAAAGCATTCTAGGCCATTTGAGCCCATGGCTGGAGAACACAAGTCCTAATCTTTCAAATGTGTGCAATATTGTCAGCTATATATAGACCAGTTCTCTTTTCTAAGTGACCGTCCCTCTTCTCTGCCTCAAGCTTTCAAAGGTACTGGAGCTTTGTTTTTGGGAAATTAGGCAAGAAAGCAGTATTTCATGTGCTTTCTATTGCTTTTGGCAGTTGTCCTTTGTTAGTGTGTCATCAAACATAAGGTAGAGCATCCAGTTAAGAATTTATGGGCAACCTCTTTAGTTCACCATATTGTCAATATATGTAAAAAGCATATTTTGGTTATTTTCTAGATTAAATTATTAATGTGGGTAAAGTTATTTCAACAGCACCAGAGTACACTGTAGCTGTACAAACAGGCCTGTTTTGCTGATTTTGTTTTGGAGCATGGAGGCCAAGGATATATTTTCTATTAGAAAATATAATCAGATTCTACATGCATCCTTAGTATCCACATTCAGCTGAGTTCTGCTTCGTATTTGCTCCTCATCAAATCTCTTTGTTGTGTCTATGTCGATCTATTGCACACAAACCCCTTTAGATCTCAGTGCTGTATGATCCCTGCTTCGAATATGAGGAATAAAATGCTGTATAGTTGCCTTCAGATATTTTCAAAGAATTACTGCCGCACTTCCCCTTTTCCCTTTCAATAATATGAGGTAGCATTGTATAGGGCTTGTCAGAGGTGGGGGTAGGGCAGAAGGGGTTCTCCGCACTCTTTAGCTGCCTGTGCACAGCCCTCCCAGCACTGCTAATAAATTATTAACTCCTGCTGACAAATACTGTTATGGAGCCTGCTGCAGATCTGTTGCATTCTTTAACAAGATTGCTGTAGACACATGTTACAGGAGGATGGAGTCTCCATCGCTCCCGCTTTCCTTTTCTCTCTCTCTCTCTTTCCCCTTCTCTTGCTCACGCCTCAGCAGTTTGACTGATGGCTGGAGACCAAAGTAAAAGTGCCTGAGAGACTGAATATTTTAGTGGTAAAATAATACCACTTGATTTACTGTGTAATACAAAAGCAGTGCTTTGTTTCACTATCACACTCCATTGAGGACGAGGTGCTTGATGTGCTCGAGGCTTGGGCTTTTTGGATGCATGAATAAAAAATACGTCAGGAGCAACGTGCTTGACCTGCATTCACCACACACACACACACACACACAGAGACACACACAGGCACCTCCCCTTCCAACCCCACTTGTGCCTCATCTACTTACCATTACATGTAGGGTCTGAACTTTGCTCTGACTTTTGATTTTCAATTAACAGTGCCCAATTTTGAGATCACTTTCTATTTGATATAATTACAGGAAACAGTTTAATGGCTGATTAAAATTGAGGGCTGAGTCCCACTAAAGACACAGTCGGCAACACATCCAGGCACAGAGCATAAAAGACAGATGGAGAGACAGATAGACAGACAGACAGGCAGACAGGTACAGGTCTCACAGTTTTGCCATGCCATCTACCTGGCTTGTTTGTTCAGCTGCTTAGACCCATAAGATTAGCTTAAGGCATGCAAACTGTTGTATTTGAATATACCAGTGTATGTTTCTGAATAATATTTCAATACAAAATTATGTTAGCTTTAGCATTAATTCCCTCGAAAACTGTCAAGTCCTCCAGAGTACAGCCTTGAATGTCTCTGCACTACATATCTAGGATAAGTGTCCAGAAGAGTGAAAGACTAAAGCGCTCTCTGCTCTTTATGCACTGCATTTTATTATAGTTCATTTAATATTTTATCCTGTTCCAGTTTGTTGTATTTCTTACTTCTTTTTCTTTTAAATGGTGCATTATGTCTTTTGTAAAGCACTCTGCATTGCCATTGTTTTTTGAAAGGTATCATACAAATACTCTTGCCTACAATATCCATAGATGATAACAATTCAACAGTGTGTGTACATGTACAGTACACTTTATTTTGCAGATTTCTTTAAGTCCCAAAGACCTTGTTTATAAAACAAACTTTTGTAAATGGAACATATCTTTGCCAGACTCTCAGTGGTCAACTCTCAGCAGAAAGTACAAGGACACCATCGCACCACAGCCTGCCTGGACCTTGAGAGTCTCCGCCCTCTCAAACCTCCCAGGCAAGCTGAGGGTAGAACTAAAGCACTGTCACACTGACCCCTGTGGATAGAGCAGCAGAACGAGGCCCATGTTTTCATCAGTGGCTAAATGTACTACATCAAGTACCTTGAGAATTTAGTCACATACAAACACACCCCCACTGTGTCTTTTTTTTTTTCCTCTCATGCACACACATACTACACTGTTACTCTGCAGAGAAGTTTGAGCCTCAAGTAGTCACAATCTAATTTGAATAGTCAGTGTCCTATAGCTGAGAAAAACAAACAGCTCAAGAAAAAGCGGATTAGGAGTTAAATATGTCCCTGCTCCTTCTCACCACTTCATATCAGTAGGAAGGCCATATTATCCCCTTTTTAATTTAATACCAAATGCATAATTAGATTTGCTGGCACAGTGTTTAATTTCATTCACTGTAGCACACAGCATGAGTGTAGCCTCATTAATTGTGAGAAAAAGCAAAATTAGTTGTATAAATTCTACACCAAAAAGTTGGGTTGTAAAAGAAAAAAAAAAAGAAATTAGAATTAACATGAGTTTCTTTTGCACCTGATATGTCAAGTACACTCTTCACTGTAATATTCATGAAAGCAAGTGACAGATTTGTGAATTTAGTCCTCCACTTTTTGCTTTTCATTTCTAAGCTGCTCAAGCAGGATTTGATGGTCTAGGGGAACATTGCCACACCAAAATGTTAATAATTTCCTAATTTGATGAGTAGAAACCAAAGAAGACAAGGCTAGTTTTTGTTTGTTTTTGATTGCTTTGGAGACAAATTAACTCATGAAAGGAAAAATTTAACATGATCGAGGGATACAGCCAAATCAAATCAACATGGGAAATAAAGGAGATTATTCAGGTAGGTAGATTAGAAAAAATATATAAAAAACAACCTTGATTTAGATCTATGTGCCAAGAGTTAACTTATTTGTGAGTTGTTTTTCTTTTTTAATTTGGATGGTAGTCCCAGTGCCTGGCTGACCTAGTGCCTGAGTCTCGGAGTTTGGGCCAAGGCCCAAGGAGGCACAGTTCCAGCTTAGATCAAGCCATGCAAAAGCATTAGACAAAGGATTAGGGACCCCACAGCCAACTTCAGACTCCACAGGCCAGAGCATCTAGACAACAGTCAAGTGGAGCATTCAGTCCATTCAGCATTATCTGCTCAGGTGCATCACTTGTAATCCCAGTTACAGCCATACACAATCACTTAAACAAGACTGCCAGGTATTCAGGAAACTATCACGGGAACAGAGTTTCTTTTAATTTACTGTTGATTATCCTCATAAGATTTTGTTTCCTTTTCTTGACACGTTCTGCTTTGCTTGTTTCACAGCAGAGTCATGTCTTCCAAGCAAGCCACATCTCCTTTTGCCTCTGTGGTTGATGGGGATGATGCCATGATTCAGGACCACTTGTCTTGGGAGAAAGAGGACAGTGCAGAGGCCCATGGCACACCACAGCTACCGCTGCACAGTCTGCTCCATGGAAAAGCCCATCCTGATGAAATGCAGCCGCTCAGCAGTGTACCATCAGAGACTGACTGGGACAGCCTGGTGTCAGCCCAACAGCGCATGGTGAGATATTACATACTGTACACATGTGCATTAAAACTCTGGACATCCATGAATGTCAGATATTCAAATGTCTGTTAGAATTCCACAAAACATCTTTGCGTAAGAACCATATTGAATCTTTTTGCACATTGTAGTGTATTCCCTACAGGTATTCGTAATTCTTTTTTGATGGCTCCATGGTAAAAATGAAACAACAGAAAATGGTTTGAATAGCATAAATGATGAAGTAAAAGTTTCTTTTTAAATCAAACTAACAAAGCAGGACAAATTCAAACCTGTGAGTGTGCACAGCTGTCTTAGTGTCCTGCTTCACTTATTTCAGATCCAGGCTCAGCAGGCACTTTATTGTTCCTGGCTTGTGTAAAGAAGCTCAGCCAGTATTCTATCCCTAGCTCTGGCCCTGCCAAACATGAAACCTTCAGCTATTATTAGGCTAAGGAGAGGACCTCTAACTCTCCCCTGAATAATGTGAATGGCACATAAAATTCCATCATGACTGATGGATGGGGATGTAGCCTTACATGCTTCCTTTAGTTTGCATTCTTGCTATTGCTATTAAAGAGACATGTCTTCTCCTCAGTGTGTTGTTTTTCTTGTTGTGTATAAGCTACATCTGCAGCCAGACTCCAGACGCTGTATATTCTAAGTGCAGAGCTGCTTTGATGTAAGTGGAGCGAAGAAGAGCACAGGCACTTGTGGGCTATAGACATGGGAGGCAGGTGGTTGTCTGTGACAGACGAGCCTGTGGTAAAGAGACCCAGAGGGGCTCTGAAGTAGCTCTGCAGTTGGCCACTGAGATGCTCAACGCATTGCAGCACAACACACATGCAAACAGACATGAATAGCCTCTGTAGCAGGCTGCTCCTCAGGATGTTGGGAAGACAGTGTAGGTAACTGACAAACAAAGGATTGCTCAGGTGTTATCTTCATCTGTTACACATTATGGGTTGTCAGAAACAGAATTTTTGTTTTAATATATGAAGCAAAAAAGTTTATAAATGCCTACAATCAATTTTTAATGAAAATTATAAATACTAACACTACCAATAATCATAGCACTTCTGTAAAACTGTGCTACAAAGTTTGCCTTATAAAATTGCTGACTAAAAGTTGTCATCTCAGTCCTAAAAAAGAGAAACATAAAAAAAAACTTCATCAAGAGAATTGAAAAAAAAAACATAATAAGGGAAATCACCAAATGTAACTAAATTATAATAAGTAATGTGTGTTTTGGAAACTTGTCTATTGTACTGTAAAATCTTAAAGAAGGAACAGGAGAGTTATCTGAAGTAACTGCAGAGTCAACAACATCTCTAATAAAAGTGTAGATCAAAATGTGATCATTAACTGAGCTAAAGAAGGTTCTGCCATCTAAGTAACATGGAGAAAAATGAAATGGTTATTAAGGCCTGAAAACAGTTTAAGAAATTTGCTTTGAGTTTACATGCTGACTGGATGGAAAATGGGCATTACTACCTGCTATAGCCTTGATCCTGTATCATAAGTAGAGTTTGAGCTCTGTGCTATTAGGAGTGGAACTGTTTCTTCTGCTTATATCTAGTTAAAAGAGAAAGTGAGAGGAAGGATGCTAAAAGTGAATAAAAAAGATAAATTGAGCAAAAGAGAAATGAGAGGAAAAAACAAAGAGAAGAAAAGGCAAAGCACAAGGTGAAAGGAATGAGAGCATTGCCTTTGCTGATTACCTGACTCCACTGCTGTGCCATGCGTCTGTGTGGGCTGTGCCCTGAACCCACGCCAGCTGATTAGCCCAGAACTGCTCCTCTCCCCTCAAGCACTCTCTGCCGTCTCTGCCACACCGCATAATCATCCAACACAGGGCTGGGAGGTGCAGAGTAGGCTGGCTGGTCGTGCCACCCTGGTGCTTGGTACCAGACCACCCTACACACCTCTGCAACTCTGCCTGGGGCTCGACATGCCACGCAGAGATGAGAAATCGGCCTTGTCAACATTCCTGCCCAGTCTACTGCATTCCTGACTTTTCATTTAGGATTGTCAGTGGCTCCAGACAAGGTTCAGTCATTTAACCCTGCTATATTACAATCAGTTAGTAAGTCACTGTTGATTAAGGGGCACTTTTCTATGATAGCCATGCAGTTATGTTTTTTGACTACAGATGTGCGTCATGTTTATTCTCTTCACTGTGAAGGCCAAAGTTTAAAGCAGAATTAAATGTTCCCCTGTTAAAGGCTGCAAACTCCTGGCTGCTTAGCTACCTTCTGCTTTCTCTGACTCTACAAGCCATAATTAACAGCGCCTTCTGTCAGATGCAACCCTCAGCCATGCTATGTGTGCTGACTGTACACTCCCACGAGTTTTCTCCCCCCCCACCCCTCAGACTTTCTCCCATTCTTTTCCCCATTTCCTTCATCTGTTTGTGCACAGGGAGCACTCAGCCAGTCAGCCATAGACAGGACCCTTAGTTAAATACTAAACCATACACAGGTGGGATTGAAAAACAACAACAGCTTGAGACAGGACACAGATTTACGATGGCTCAAGGCACTCAGCTGAGAGTAGGTCTCCACTAGAAAATGAACAAATTACACAGCAGTCACTGTAATACAAATGTACACTCAAAAGCAATTTGAGAAATTACAGTTGGGAGGTTTCTCTGTGTAGTCTCTGCAGATGAAAAGTAAAGCCTGGGCACATTATGGATATGCCCTATGAAAGTGTACCTCATCATTTCATCTCAATTTTTCACTTGTCATATCTCATTTACCAGCACAGCTAGCTGTTGACGATACAGAAGCTGCTGTATGAAAGCCAGAGAGGAGCCATTTGATATGGCCAAATCACCCCTGAGTTGCAAAAACCTAGCAATCACTGCATTTGAATGAAAAGCTTCCAGAATGCTCAGTAGAGCCCTGCCAGAATACAAAAATATGCTCATCATTTAATACAAATCCAATCCCTTGTTGCCACCCCTCCCTACTTCTGTTGGTCTTACAGGAATCTGACAGCAATAAAGTATGTTCCCTGTACTCCTTCCGGAACAATTCCACTTCCCCACACAAGCCGGAGGAGGGGGCCCGGGAGCGAAGTGACCTACTGAGTGGATCCGCCTTTGGAACTCCGGAGCGCCGCAAAGGAAGCCTGGCAGACGTAGTGGACACACTGAAGCAGAAGAAGCTGGAGGAGATGACAAAGACAGAGCATGACGGTATGACTCACTTTGTGTGTGTGCGTTTGTTTGTACGGAGTATAGGAATACTTTTTTCTTCCTAAGTGCACCTGATCTTCCCAGATTTTCCCTCTTTCTTTTTTTTTATAATTTTCTAGCTTCCTGACTGTCTGACTCTTTTCTCTTGTATCTCTCTGTCTCACGCGGGCAAACCCAAGCTGGGAAAACTGACGGTACAGTGTTTCCAGTTTGTTCTGAGCCTCTTCCAATGTGACAGAGACTGTGTGGCAGTGCACCTCAGCATAAGTGTGGTCTACTTCTGTGCCAGGGCAAACTCTTTAGCTATAAAACTGTGACTCAATGCCAGGAACATTACCTCTTTTTATTTTGATTCACAAAACACTTTTCATTCTGTGCAGTTATTCATCAAAGTTTGCTACCCACAAACAATCCAAGTACCTCTCTCAGATTTTAACTGCTTCATATGTCATTGTATTCAACACACCATGAAGATTTCAGAGGTTTTACTTTCTTACACTTCCATGCAGAGAAAAACAAAATCTTTTTTCTGTGATAAAATTGTTAGGTCTGTCATATCTGCACCCCATTTCACCCTGCTTGTCTCTCCCTCCCACAGCCTGCAGTCTATCAAGAGTATGGTGGAAAAACAAATATTTGAAAGAGCTGCTGAAACACATCCCCCTTCTTAATTAGGGCTGTAGTAATATAACTACATCCAATCAAATGTTAAACCCCCTTGGGAATGCATGTGTCTCATTTAGTGTCTGGGGAGCTCTTAGCTTAAGCACTTCATCAGATGAATAAATTAGACCTCTGTTAGCCTAAAAATAATTTGCCACTTCTTTTTTTAAGCATTCGTTTGGTGATCTTTGTATCAGGGCATCACAGGCCTCTCACCAGGTAATCATTTTGCTACAACCTGATACTGAGACAAGTTATTTGTAATGATTCATCTGCACACTAATAAACAGAGATCCTTTAAAAAGCTGAACAGTTTAGATCATTGATATGGATAGTAATGACCAACAAAGTCATAACATGAAATATCAAACACAAAAGACATGCTTGTCTATTCCAGCATGTTTTCACATGATAAATACAGCTTTTGTAGATGTGTGACATTTGCTTATGAGGCTGTATCAGTATCTTTTATCTTACTATACTTCTGACCACTGATACTGGCCATTTAGTAAAAACTATACTAAAACACATTTGCAAAATTCCCTTTACTTTCACAAAATGCAACAGTACAGCAGATACATTAGCAATGTGAGACGTTTTTATGTTTTTCCATTGTGGGGATTTCTTCTGAATGTTTTCTTCCATACCAGTGAATATCAGGGATATTCTGCATTCTTCCTACTGGTCCTCTTGACACTACACTTAGATCTGGAGCTGATCCCAGGAGGCAAGAGCATGGCTTCCCACAGCTCCTTAAAAGATACATTTTGGTTAGAAAAAAAATCAAAACAGTTCTGCTACTGCTTTGTTTGTTTGTTTGTTAGTTTGTCTGTTTTACTCTAAGGTAAAAATACTTTTTATATATGTGTTGTTTCTTGTGAAGTTGATTCTAAGAACAAGACTGTCAGTGTTCTTTGTAGCAATGGCGAGCATTATGGTAATGAGCCCCAGCTGGTGCAGGCTGGTTGTTGCAGTAATTTAAATGGTCAAGTGCAACTTGTAATCCAGGGCCGTATGTTAGTGCAGGGAGGAGAGGGTGCTTTAGAGTGCCATACAGCTGTTTTAATCTCCTGTTAATAATAAAGACTTGGTCTGCCTCCTGCACTGTGTAACATCGCCACCAAAATAAACTCCCTGGTTGGAGGGAATTAGTTTCTGAGCAGGGAACACAGCAGAAGACAAGAGGCTCACAAAGTTCAGTATGCTGTCCCCAGGCTAAAGGAACGGAGAGATACTCTGTTCTTGAGAGCACTCGAGGAAGCTTCAGCGGTGATGATCGGTGATTACTGTAAAATGGAACTGAGAGGGACTCTTAGAAACTGTTAAGGAAAACCTCACAGAAACCTTTGAGAAATCTGGTGACTTTGTTTGTGGATTAACCTATTAAATAACACACAAGAAGACTGGAGAAGCCATTTGTTCTCTTAATGATGTTGCTAAAGTATCACAAGCAACAGATGAGCTTAATATATCACTTATCTAAGCATGACAACTGTTGTGGCTAATTCTGCTGCTTTGGTGCCTGCCTGGTCGGGATCACCCGGGTCCTCGGAGACTCTTCACCATCTGCTACCATTCTTCTCTGGGCTTCCTTGTCTGGTCAAGATAGTTCATTGTCCTGATGGACTCAGGGTAAAACACTGTGACCTCAAGTGATGAGTGAAAACAAATGGTCTATAGTACACTTTTACACAGCGCTTGCAGAACATGAAATCCCACTTAAAATGACACATTCTTGTTGTATGGTAAATGTAGGAATAAGCAATAAAAAACATAGCTAATTAATTGTATTCTGTAATTAGTAATATTCTGACAATTGCTACTGATGCTGTATGTCTCCATTCAAAGGAAACTATTGGCCAGTTTTCTTTATTGACCATGATCCCTTAAATAGTCTAACAATAATGGTGGTGCTCACTATTGTAGGCATTGGTCCTTCATCCCTCCACCTGTATATATTTGTACCCTTTCAACCCCTCTATGCTTCCACCCTTCCTCTTTATTTCTGGTCCTTAAAGTGCTTTAAGTGCTTGTGACTGTGCTAATGAATGAAAATGTCCTCCCAGCAGTGAGGACTGCATTTAGCTGAATAGTCACCTTTGCTGTAAAAGCTCTATTAGGCCCAGTTGCCAGCAGGGCTAACGATTGTGCCCCATGTTTATTTACTAGGTATTGTAAATGCATTATTTATGTATGTCTCCAGACAGTGCTTGTCAAGAGTTAAAAATGTCAGTATAAACTATTAGAGTTAAAAGAAAAAATGCCATCATTACAAAAAGCCAAGGTGACCTTGATTTGATTCACATGCAATTAGAACAGTTTTATATAATGCACTAAAGTATGAATCAATACAGTCCAAGTCAACGCAGAAATACTTTGTGTGCTGAGTCTTTATGATCGTCCTCAAGACGAGGACAGATAATTGGGTTTCAGCTTCCTGCCTTAGCTTTTAGGAATTTGCCTTGGCTCTGTATGTATTTGAGTCCTTGTCAGCACAACCAGCACTGAACTGGATTCAGTTATATATCTTTTGTTATCTTTGTGGTACTTCTTTTTAGTCTGGCAAGTAAATCAACTGCCTAAGTGATATGAATCTGAAACAATTTACCAAAAAAAAAAAGTGGTAGATGGTCTCAGTCTACTATGTTTACTAGTTTTAGAAATGACTAGTTTTAAAAATGCCTGACTTATCTTCTTGTTACTTAAGTTGACCTTTTTCACTGTGTTTTGCTATTGTTGACTTGTTGACTACAACAGCTATTGTATTCAGAATCACAGTATATCATTATTGCTGGAATGCATATATGAAGTTGAGAAAGTAGTGTTGCATGTGAACCTATGAACAGGTGTGTTCTGAAGACATTTGACATAGTGATTAAACTGACAGTGGAGACTTTTCAAATATCTATAGCTGTAATCTAAAAACACCAATAACCTCTCATTCTAGAAAAACAGGCAAACATATGCACAAATGGTTAAATATATTAAGACTTACTGTATTTAAACACACACACACACACACACACACACACACACAGAAAGAGGATGCCCTTCCTTATAAATACAGCTTTTTTAGACCAGTCAAAGTGGATACAGTAGGTGCTCAAGCAGAATATTCAACACCTGGAGCCCTTTGACAGAGTCATGGCTAATTAGCTTTGCAAAGGGGGGCACAGCGCCATTCAGCCAAACTGCAACCCCTTTTTAATCTCAGGGAGAAGGATGTTTAATGACTACAGAGAAAAGAGTTCCCCTATTAAAGCGGCAGGTAACCTAACCATTGCTTGTGACAAGAAACTGCACAACATGGTGTGGCGCTCTGAACTAATTGTGTTTGGGCATAGGGTTATATGTGTGTAATTGTATGTGCATCTGTATTACCACTTATACCTCTCTTCCTCTCCCTTTGCCTTTATCACCTCTCCTCTATTTGTAAGTGTAATCCCCCTGGTGAGGTTGTGTATTATCACTGTATAATGACTGTGCAGTAGGTTCAGTGTGCATTGCCCCAGGTCATTATCCTCTATTACAACAGGCCATGTAATGAGATTCAAGGATGGGTGAAAGCTTTGGAAGAGAATAGGATCGGCTCTAAGCGTGTGGTCTGATTAGCACTGATGAACTCTTGACTCTGTTGTAACTCTGTCCCCTGTCAGTGTCACAGCCCCCGCTGACTCCACGTGCAGGCTCACTGGAAATTGGCTGCAGATGCTTAATTGTAGAAGCAGGTTTATTTCTGTAAATTTATTTATTTTCATTTATTCGATCAAAGCATTAAACACATTTTGAAAAGGTATATTACATATAACATGCTCTGTATCATGTGTATAATAAATAAATTCCCCTTCCCTCCCCCCAGACAGACGGATGCACTTTCTCCCCTCCTCTTTTAGTTCCCTCGCTTCTCCGCTCTCCTCTCATCACAGCTGCCGTGTCATCTGGTTCTGCTTTATCCCACCTAATTAATAGGAATCTTTGTTATAATGATCTGAGCATGAGACTCTGACTCTATGCATATGCAATGAGGCCTGGAGATCCAGTTGCCTTGGTTGCAGATTTTGAGGCATTCTTCACACATAGCTCAATGCCCCATCTAAGTGCAGCTTCCTATAGACGACGTGAGGCCGGGACCCTCCTGGCAGGACGCACTCACTCACTGGCCAAAACATCAGTCAGTCAAGACCCAGCATTTGCTGTGTTCCTTGTTATTTATTCTGTCAACATGATTTCAGCAAGCTACTTATTTTGATGCAAGTAATCTATTTGATCAAACAGTTGATATAGCTTTTTGTGCGTGTGTGTGTGTGTGTGTGTATACGCATGCTTGCATGTAATGT